GGGGTCTCGGGTTTGATTCCCGGCGGGGCCCGAATTTTTAACTTGTGTTGGGCAAGGCCGTGGTCTAGGCAACACGGAGTTTTCCTTCGTGGCATCCCAACAATTACTCCATTCACACACAGAAGAAGGCAATGGCAAACCACTTCTGGATCATCTGCCAAGAACGTATATGAACAGGTCCCAGTCCGAGAAGAGAAAAGGATGGAAGGATCCTGTTCATATGGACCTGTCGTCAGACAGAACACTAAATAAATAAAATAAAAATCCCGTATTATCTTAACTTGTGACCTACATTTCCCTAGTATCACTCTTCAAAATGTATTATGATTCTAAGATTACGTTGTAACCAAGAAATATTTTTTCTATATTTTGCCAAAGTGGTTATCGTATTGAGGTTATCCCCGTCTCTTCAATAATTCAATCTGAAAACCTTTGATTGGTTCTGAAGTCTTACTGAGGTGTATGACGTCCCCAGCAAATTTCTATCTCTTCAGGTGGTAATTGTACGATATATATACAAAGCCAAAAAAATCATCCTGTTACACACCATGCAGGCGCTTGGGGGGGAGAGGTGGTATAGCTCCTACTCATTTTCAACCTCGGCACTAGATGGGGGTGAGTGGTCAGCATCACGCATCGGCCGTGTTTTACCCCAGGGAAAGACCCAGGTACCCTTTGGATAGGAGGCTGGCTTGACCCCAGAACCGGTTTCGACGAAGAGGCTAGAGGAAAAATTTAAACCTGGGGCTTCCAAGTACCAAGCACTCGTGCTGGAAGGATAAAGTAACACCCCGCAGAACGGCGTAATTATAATAATAATATTATTATTATTAAGTGTTCTGTCTTACGACAGGTCCATTGCTCTGCCCAAAAAGAGCTCTCCAGTTGTCCCTATTCTCGGCTTCTCGCTTTAATTCCTGGAAATATACAGGAAAGTAAATAAATGTGTCATGTGTCGACTCGTCCCACTGTCACGATACAAGGAATTGTATAGCGTTCAGGCACTGGTTTGCAGTTTTCATTCGTTTTGAGAATTACTTCGAAATCAAATCTAAAAATTCTTGACGATGGTGAAGAGTCAATTGAATAAAAATTTTCTTGGATATTATCCATCGTCTAGTAAATATAAAACGACGTTTCGGAGATGGGACTCTATCTCCGTCTTCAGGTTCCTACACATCTCCGAAACGTCGTTTTACGTTT